TGGGATTCTAATTTTTTGTTGTGAGAGCACTGCATCTAAATCTTTATCACGAAAAAATTTTATACGTAGCAAAATTTTATATTATACCATATATAGTTTTGATTTACTTAGCTGACAATATGATATGCAGCATAGCAGGCTATAATTCTGATTGGTCAATTAGTAAATTACAGAAGTTAGCGACGGGATACATTTTTGGTCTTATAGATTAAGGTAATTCGGTTATTTTTTTTAACATTCCGTATAAATATAGGTTATTCGACCAAGTTTTTAAAAGCTATAATATATTAGATATGGAGTATGCGTAGGATATATATGATTATATGTATTCTATGTTCTATACCCTTCATACTTTCCACATATGCACCGATTTTTGATTTTATACGTATTAGGGCTAGTTTTTTTAAAAACTTCTATACGTATTAGAAGTTATTTAATCTTAAAGTTTTAAAAAAAATTAGCCCTAATATAAATTCCAAAAATCGGTGCATATGATGTGTATACGTACGTATTCTGTATTACTTTATTGATAGTTGATAATTTTTTTAATTCATTTATTATTAATTAGTGAATGATTGATAAATAAAGATTATTTATATATTTAAGAAATTGCTTCAAGTTTTTTTTTAGATACACATTGGTAATAGTTATCAGAATCAATACATTAAAAATCATTATTGTAAATTTAAATTTATAGTTTAACTCTATCTTTTTGTTAATAATTCATATAATTATAGCCAATTAAATTATAGATTATAGGCAAAGCAAAACAAGAAACAAAAATGAAACCCTAAAAAATACAAAAAATGACTGTCTAAATCTATTTTGGATAGATTAAGTAGAAAGGCATTTTGCTTATATATAATACTCTAAAAAGATCTTTAAGCCACACAAATTTAATTTATTGGTTCTCGTAACTTAAATAGACCCGGCCGGCTTTGTTTCTTTAATTTTATATATATAAATTTATAAAATTTTCTTAAAAATTGTTTTAAAAATTCACCTGGTTTTAAAACAAAATTTTTTGTAAAATTTTCAAAATTTGACCCCGATTGATTGATCAACTTCCAAATTAGTACATGGACGATGCCCGTACGTACGTACGTACCTATTTTTTTTTTATTTTTTCGTTTAACGAGATTTTAACTATATATATAGTAAGTTATCGTTACCACCTTATTTTAAAATACGTTATGTACCAAGAAGGGGGACAAAACATGGAGAAGTAGTTGATAATTTGAAAGGAGAGAGAAGAAGGCACGTTTATTAGTAAGAAAGTGGTAAATAAAGAAAGAAGTTTGAAGCATCATTATATTATTTTCTATGGAAGGAATGCATATGGTCATGCGCATGGTCTTCGAGGAATATGATCACTGTACAAGATAGACCTTGGCATGTAGGCGTACGGTTTGTATTTTTAATATTTTATTTTATTTTTATGAGTTTTGCTAAAGCTCACCGGTGGTGAATATCACCGATGGTGAATATCACTAGCGGTGTTTATCACCATGCAATCTAATTGGTTAAATCCATTACACATGATCTAAACTAAATCTTAACAAACAATTATAATTATATACTTAATATATATTTATTACTAGCCTGCAAGTCTACTATATATATAAAAAATGAGTATTATTTTATCTTTATCTTGCAATTATAAACATATTACTATAGTACTAATCAATATTTTGCATTATTTAGATTAATGCCGTTATTTAATCTACAGTTAACTTTAAATATCGTAAACCTCTATATAATATACTTTGGATATAATAAGCTTAAATTGTTTAACTATTTCAGTAATAATATGCGGGTAAACAAGATAATATACAATAATGCATTATTTTACGACTATACAGTACTTACAAATTAAATTGCATAAATAACTCCCTAGTATAACTATTAAAAAGCACAAACGCGTAATCATAAAATGATACTAGTTAATGATTAATCATATTTTAGTACAATGTAATATGATTAAAAAAATTAAAAAAATTGATCGTTTTGAAAACATTGTCTATTTTTCAAAAACTTGCATAATAACCCACCTTTTATACACTAACAAGAAGTTTTCTTTGTACTATTTTACTATAGCTACCTAATCTCTAATATTAGTCTAAATTCTAACTTAATAAAAACAGACTTAAAAGTATTATTTGATCACATGGCTGTGCTTTTTGATAGTTACACTAGAAACATCTGTTTAAACTACAAGTTCAAATAAGTATATATTTTTAAGCAAATATCAAGCAATTAATAAATTGATTTATTTAAAAGCAAATAAATGTAAATAATCTATTAAACATATTATATAAACAATCAAACACTCTAATTAACCTTAATTTTTTTTTAATTCACAAGTACAAGCATTATGTCCAACATTTTTGCAATTACTACAAATATACTTGCCCTGACCAATATTATTGTTTGATGTATCATTATAGTCCTTGTTGATAGTAGTATTAGAAATATTTTCTAATACGCTCTTCAAATGCTTTTTTGGTACACCTTTTGTACATGTATAATAAGGATTACTAATATTTAATGTTTCATGCTCAAATTGTGTATTATGAATTTCCATCTCTTTTTCTTTGATCCATCCTAATAAAAGTTTATTTAACTCATTCTCTTGTCCTAATTGAAGTGCTAGGTCAATTGCTTTTTTAGCATAACCGAAACCCTGATTGTATTTTGCTTTACTTGATAAATTTTGTCTAATAGTCTCTGATAATATATGTGTATGTCGAATTTCATTTAGCATATTGAAATTAGTTACTATTTTATGCTCATATACTAGCTCATTATCAGAAGTCTGTTGATTACTACATATTGTAATAGCAACCTCTTCATTAGGGCTAAGTAATATATCATTATACCACTGAAATGGAATCAAACCAATATGAAACATAGCACTACTTGTACAAAGCATCACTACAAAGAAGTGTCGACATACTAATCCTCTTGTTATAAGCCACATACAAGTGCATAAGTG